AGGTGAAGTGGAAGGGTCAGGGGAAGAGGAGGGAGGGTGCTGCCATGGAGGCTGTTGATGTGTGTGTGTGTGTGTGTGCGCGTGTGTGCATGCTCCGTGTATGGTCACCCTGCACGCCTGGCAGGCAGGCCAGATGTCTGTTTTCACTGGGTGGGAGAGGGGAGGAGAGTGTGAACCCCTGACCCAAAGCTGCACTGCCTCACTTCTCTAAGCAGTGTCTGTGGAGCCATCCCAGGAGTACCTTCTGTCAGAAGACTGGCACAGGAGAGCCGAGAGGGAGGAGGCAGAGGCAGTTTCGGGTTGCTTTGCTCACCGTCCATGCCCTTCCCTCCCCCTCTGTCTCCCTCTGCCCCCACCTGCTGCCTCAGCAGCTCCACTGCCTGAACCTACAGCAGGATTCGCTGTCCAGTTCCCAATAGAAGGTGCAGGAGGAGCATGACATCACCAGCATTGAGTGCCATTGGCTGGGCAGTCCCTGGGGCAGGAAACTGTCTCCAGTGGCCAAAAGTTAACTCTTCCCTAGGCTGAAGCCATGTGGCATTTAAGGCATTAAGCTGTGGGCACATCTAGATTGTTCTTCCCCCTACTCTTTGGTAGAGGCTCCCAAGCCCAACAAGACACTGAAGAAAATCAACTGATATCTACTAAGGACATTCGTATAAGGTGTTCTGTGTGTGCCTAGGGGCACACCTAGCATAGGAGACCTTTCTGAAGAGTGGTCTCTCACCCCTACTGAAACAGAGTGAAAGAAAAGGGGGCTGGACAAGGTGGCACATGCATGTAATCTTAGCACTTTAGGAAGCTGAGGCAGGAAGATTGCAAGTTCAAGCCCAGCCTGGGCAATTTAAAGAGTTACCTAGACAAAATGCAAAATGCGAAAAGGGCTGAGCATGTAGCTCAGTGCAGAGGCTCTGGGCTCAATCCCCAGTAAGGCAAAAAGAGACAAAAGAACCCTAAGGTATCGTCTGGTTCCAGGGTCACTGGCAGAAGGGTGTCGCCACCTAGAATGTCCTCAGGTGCTAGGTACAGTCAGCATGCATGCCTGTGCCCCTCTATGTCTCCCTCTGGGTGGAAGACCTGCCTGCATGCTGTCCCTCAGATGTGTAGAAACTGGCAAGAGACATAAAGAAGGATAAACTGGAGGCTTCTATCGGTAAATAGATGCAACTTGAGACCATACTCATAAATGAAATATATCAGACATACATGTGTAAAGATTGTATTGTCTCAGTAATGTGAGAAGCTGAAAGGAAATATATATATATATACATATACATATATATATAGCAGTGGAGTGTATATACATATATATATACATATATATACATATATATATATATGTATATATATATAGATAGATAGATAGAGAGAGAGAGAGAGAGAGAGAGTTGAGATAGTTATACTACTGATTTCTCTGAGTTCACTTAAGAGAAAGATATGTGCTGGTGTTGGACAACTGAATGCAGATGCCCTGTGCCCAGGGTGAATGATTTGGGGATATACCAGTGTTGCTCCCTGATTGTTGTTTTGAAATTGTAGGGTATTTTTCTCTTTGAAATAAAATGGATTTGAAAAAAATAAAGTAGCAAACGAGAGAGTACTCATCTCAGTCCTGGAAATGTCCCACATTGGGACTGTCATAAGCCCGAGGTGCAAAGAGGCATTTTGGAGACACCTTCCTGACTCCACCGCCAGCTAAGATCATCCTGAGAGTGGCTGGCTGTGAGAGTAATTAAACAAGTTGACATAAGTAAAATGACTGTCCCTACCCTCACCCACAGGAAGCGTTCAGATGATGGCGGGCTCTCACCATTGAGTTCCGCTGTGGACTTTAAATTCTGTTTTCTTTCTTACTGCAAAACTTTCAATAATTTATATAGCCCTTTTACTTCTTGTAAACAGCAGCAAAGTGGCTGGGGATTTCTGTGAAGATACAGAGTAACTGCTAGGTTATTGTTCTTGTTTTATACTCAGTCAGTGCTTTATTCTTCCCTGGAAGTTTCTCACATAGTCACTTAGAAGAGGGTTGGAGGACACGTGGGTTGTTTTTTTGTTTTGTTTTGTTTTTTTACATCTCTTGTTACTGGTTAAAGAAACGGAGGAACAGGAAGATTTGAAGGACATGGGGATGGCCCATCCAATCTGTGTGTGATGTGGAAGCATAAGGCCTCTGACTTTCAAGTGCACCCTCTTTTTGCCTGAAATGGGTCTGGCAGGAGCAGAAGGGGTGAATCTGCAGATCATCTGGCCAGGCCTGGCCGGGGTGACTTATCCAGAAGAAAGTAGTGCTATTAGCTCCTTGGGATCCAGTTATCTGGAAAAACTGCTCCGATATGGAGGAAACACTTGCTGATGGTGGCTGCCATAGAGGGCTGGCTAAACGTGGCATAGAGATAGAGATAAGATTTCTGCTTTCTAGCCGTAAGTAATAAATTCCAAATTGTTTCTTAGGTGCTCCTTCCCTCAGTATCCGAGTGAATGGCTAGGTATGGAGACGGGAGGAAGAAGACAGCCAGAAATGCGGGTTGTTCTCTCCATTCATTCTCTAACACCAATGTTTTCCTCCGCTTAGGGAGAAAGAGCCTCTGAAGTAAGCCTTCACTTCATCGGGCTGAGCTCGGCACTGGGGACTGTGATCAGCTGGCCAGGCAAGTAGGGCTGGGGTCAGGACAGAAGAAATAAATACTCAAGACCTGGCCACACCAGGCAGTCTTCAGCTCTCATGGTCACCAGTGGAGGCTGCGAGGAAGGATGGAATTGTTCGTTCAGCGCCATTGTGAGCTTGATTCATTGCAGGCCACAGCCAAAGGCTGGTGAGCAAGGAACCAGGTGCGGGATAGATGGTGACTGTTCTGGGCCCTGAGGATTCTGCTGGAGGGCTTCTAGCAAGAGGTGTACCCCTGGATGTCCCCTCTGAGATCTAGGCCTGTTCGTGGGTGTGGGAGAAGGCACTGACCTGTTGTAGCTCTTTCAGCTCATCTTCATTTGTCCCCTGATGCAGGAGCAAGCTGCAATGGGTGCAGAAGCCACTGGGGGACTAAGAGAAGCAGCAGTGGAGAAGGTAGGTACCTCCCTGTCAGCCCTGGATAGACTCAGGCTGTGGGGCTCCGAACTGCAGCCTGTGTGGGCCTGCAGAGAGGAATAGAGCTGCTTGCTGTTCCTGGGCTCCCTTTTGTTTGAGATCCGGGGCATTCTCAGAGGGGCAGAGGAACCTGAGAAGGTTAGAGAGAGGCACTTGCTGGGGTCCTCCAGGTTAATTGTGAGGCAGCCCAGCATCTCAGCCAAGAGGCAGGGCCAGGCCAGACAGTGAGGATCCAGGGGCAGAGGATATATATATGCTGGGCGTGGTGGCACATGCCTGTAATCCCAGCACTTGGGAGGCTGAGGCAAGAGGATCATTACAAGTCTGAGACCAGCCTGTACATAGTAAGCTCAAGTCCAGACTGAACTGCATAGGGAGATCCTGTTTCAAAACAAAAGAAGAGCTAAAGGGACAGAGGATAGCCCACATTTGTGACTCAAAGCTTCCATTTTTCTCCAGTTCATTCCTCACAATAGCCCATGGGGACTGCATTTCATAAGTGAGGGAAAAGAGGGAGATTCCGTAATTTGCCTAATGTCACCTAAACTGTTAAATGAGGGACCCAAGATTCACTTTGAGGCTGCAGAACCTAACCTAGTCAGCAGCTGCTTGGTAGAAGGGGAAGTCTATTAGCTCAGGTCATTGTGTGATGGCCCCGGAGCCGTCCTGTTAGGCCAAGCTGTGTCCAGGGCTGTGTTGGTGTCTGTTTGCCATGGTGCCCCCATTTTGGGTGGCACTGTCCTCTCCCTCCTCCCCAGAGCTCACCCCGTCATTTGGCTGCTCATCAGTGAGAAAGGCCTGCTGGGACTGTGACACGTCTGCCTGCAGCTGGGTGGGAGCAGTCGCCAGCTGGTCTCCTGAATGTTTTCTGTGCGTGTGCGTGTGCATGCGTGTTCCAAGCAGGCTGTAGCGTGTGGGAAGGGGAAAAGCATGACGCTTGTTTTTATCAATGTACTGACTGCTCAGTCATGGTGGTGGCCTCCTTCACCCCCAGCGGCTCTGCCATTTCTCTTTCCTTACAGTCCTGCCCTGCCCCATCCCTAGCAAAGATGAAAGCAGATTTCCGCTGGCTCACAAATCCAGGCACAGACCCTGCAGGCAGCTGCACCCAAAGGCCTCACAGCCATTAATCTTCAAAAGCCCCGCCCTGGCCCTCACTCAGGCATCTCTGCTCTCCATCCAGCCCCCCACTACTGGCCCAGCAGCGACCTCTGCCCGGCTGGCCTCTGCGCTTGACTTTCAAGCAGCCCGAGGTGGAAAGTTCTCTAGGCAGCAGCACCCAGCCAGGGCTCCACCTCTGAGGGGAGGCAGTGGGAGATGCAGCAGCTGAGAGAGGACTCACTCTGAGGCTGAGGGAGGAGGCCAGAGCCTGAGATGCAGCAGAACCTCCGTGGGAGCCTCTCAAAGTAGGGCAGGGAGGAGGCAGGGCAAGGTCGCACCAGGGAAAGGAGCCTGCTAGAGCCAGTGCACCCACCTGACCTGGGCCATGAGCCTGTGGTCACCTGTCTCAGCTCCTGTCAGCCTGTCTTTCTCCGGGGAGGCCGGAGCTTTCCTGGTGACAGGACTGTCAGGCTGAGGGCCAGAGGGCTCTGCTCCCAGGACACCACGCCCCCCAGGGTTTCTGATCCCATTCTCACGTCATTCTCTCATCTATTTGCTGTGTTCCTGTCACCTCATCTTTGCCTCTGTTCTGTGCCATCTCTAGGTTGCCCGCCTCCACCCAATGGTCTGAGAAACTGTCAGACCAAGGTCATGGCGCAGGTACACAGGACTGGCTACAGGCCCAGGCCCACTTCCACAGGGCAGCACTCCTGGCAGCACCAAGGAGAGTGGGCAACAGAGAAGGAGGCAATGGCAGTGAGGAATGTGGCTGCCAGGGCCTGGCAGCTGGGGTGCCATGTGGGCTGGGAAGGAGGGGCTCTCCCCCCTAGAGAGCAGGCTGGCTTTGGTGGGAGCAGATTGTGTTTACACCTTCCCCGCACACCCAGCCCACGTGCGCCTCTTATTCCCAGGGCCTCTCCCACCCCTGGGTTCTCTGCGAAATCTGCACATTTGCAGCTTCTGTTGCAGAGCTGCCTCCCTCGGGGAGAATACCTTCTACCGGGCGCTCCGGGACCAGGTATCCCTCCTTAGCCCACTAGTGCACACTACAGGGTGGGTGTGAAGCCTGGGAAATCTCTCAAATTGTGGCCACGACACTGTCCACAGAGAGTGAATTCTTTCTCTCCCCATTTCCTTAGAATCACTGCTCGGAAATGGGAGCAGAAATGCTTAGGGGCTTGGCAGAAACAGAGCTCAGGGCAACTAGAGAGACAGTTGAGGCGAAGAGCTGGCTTAGCCATGTCTCAGGAGGTTGGCAATGAAGGAGCCAGGACCCTGCAGTCGGAGTACCTGGATCTGAATCTCCATTGAACCACCTTTGGGTGACCTTGGGTTTCTTACTGCATGTCTCTGTGCCCCAGTTTACTTCCATAAGATGGAGTTAGTAGCACTTATTTCTCAGTTGGTACGAAGGCTCAACAGTATACACAGTGATTAGCACACCTAATAGGTCCTCAATACATGCGAGCGGTACAGGTATCTAGGGATAGTAAATTAGCGCACAACTGTAGATTCAGAATAGTTGGTGTTCCTTCCTTCCTGCCCCATGGTCCTTCCTGCCTTGGCCATTCATACATACAATCACTGGGTGATGGGCAAGTACAAAGCAAACTAGAGGAGGACAGAGGGCACCCAGCGAGTCTGTACTGGCAAGGACCGCCTGGCCTCTGTGTGCCTAGCACTCCATCTCTACCTCCCTGGAGCTCTTGGTCTGGATATCTCCCTCCAACTGACTCTGCTTCCCAAGTGCATCTTGGCTGCTGAGGAAGACAGGCATCATTCGCCCTTGTGCTCTTTCCTCTCCATCTGAATGCTAATCTTTCTGCTGGCCAGAGCCTGAGTGACACGGAAGAGGCTGCTCAGAGCTGCAGGGTGGCCAAGGGCGGCAGCTGGAGCAGGGAGGTGCTATTGTCTGCTCCTTCTGTGGCTGGCACACAGGGCTGCTGCCAGTCTCTCTTGGAGATTGGAACATGACCAGAGAGCTAATGAGGTGGCGGAAAGGAGCAAGGAGGTGGCTATGGCAGCTGTGGCAGCTGCTGCTGTCCTGGTCAACCTGGGGAACAGATAGGGCTTTGGGGGAGCACCTGTCCATCTTGAACATCTGGTGTGTGTCTGTGTGCAGAAGTGTCCTGAGTAAAGGTGTATGCCAGAGGCCCTGGCTCAAGCCTACATGGCCAAGGCCTGGAGCCCAATTTGAGGTAGGCAAATGCAAGAGCCAGGCACCCCGCTGAACACCCACGGGCGCCTCACTGTCAGGAAGAAGCCTGAGCCCTTGAGCTATAGGGAAGTAATGCTGCTTTGGAAGCCACAAAACAAAGAGAATAGCAAAATGGCCTACACAGAGACTTACATTAATATAATGATAGTAACCTTAATAATGCTATTAATAAATTAAAAAATAATGCTATTAATAATGGCTAACATGGATCAAACATTTTTATGTGCTAGGCACTGTGCCCAGTACCTTATTTACAGGCACTAGCTCATTTATGAGACAGGAATGGTTGTTACCTTCATTTACCCAGGGAAGTGATGGTCATAGAACCTGCTCAAGGTCACTCACAGCTAGCAGTAAAGCCAGGCCTGCACCTGGGAAGTCTGATGGCAAAACTTGGGGCAGAGAGGACCAGAGTCTGGGGTTGGTGAGGAAATTCCCAGATGTGCCTATGTACACAGATACAAACACTGGAGCCTGGGCCAGCCCTGGACATGTCTTTTGTTGGGGTCAGGGTTGCCAAGGTTATTCCTGCTATCTCTTCAGGGACACATAAAGCAAGGGCAACCAGGCGCTGGGACCCGGAAAGGCCAGTTCTTGCCTGCCAGCTGAGGGATGTGAAGAGCTGCCTGCTTAGGATCCATCAGTGGCCCCTGGCAGGGATGAGACAGCAAGGTCATGGCTCACAGTCATTGTCACTGCTTCCTGCAAGCAGGGGCAGGACCCTGGGGAGAAGAGAGAAAGGCAGCCAGCAGCCCAGCTGGAGCGGGGTGTGTGTGTGGTGTGTGTGTGTGTGTGTGTGTGTGTGTGTGTGTGAGCAGCAGACTGATTTGACCTGTTTGTGTTCTCCAGGGGAGGATGCAGGGAGAGACCAAAGAGGCGGCTTCAAGAGGGATTCAGGACAAACTGGAAACAAGTCCTTTCACTGAAGGACCACTGACCCTCTCTGTGTGATGCATGTGCCCCCTAGTGGGGGTTAAGACTAGACAGTGGCTAAGAAAATTACAAAGAAACAAAACAAAAGACATTTTCTGAGCCTATGAGCTAGGGAGGAAGTACCAGTCCTGTCCCTATGTGAACACACACACACACACACACACACACACACACACACACACAAACACACACACACACAGAGTTAATGCATGCAGAAGCCACATGAACTAAGCATTAAAAGAAATTCATGTATTCCTTTGCTTTTTTACTTACAAGTGTGTATTGGGAGCCTACAATGTACACACCCCATGCCAGGTGTTGTGAGTAATATGGTAATACAGTCTGCATCACACCCTGACTTGCACAAATGCATGCAAAGACCTGGCCTGGGAAGCCTAGTTCCTCCAGCAAGCCCTATCTGCTTGTGTAACCTTTTAGTTTTCTAGATCTCAGTTTTCCCCATTCAGTAATCATGTGTTGAAACTAGGCGGGCTGGTGCTCAGATTTAAAGAACTAATGCCCTCCTCAGGAAAAGGATCACTGAGTAAAATGAAGGGAGGGGCCAGATGACCTCAGGGTCCCCACAGATTGTCCTCATCCAGAGAGACTGTGTCTGGAGGCGCCGAGCAAGCTTACTGCGTGACGAACATTTACGCAGTGTTTGTACCAGGCGCTCTGGATACAAAAATGGATTAAGACCTTCTGCCACAACCAACCAGGAAGCTGCACAAAATATAAGAAACAGACACCTGACAACAGGCAACACACACGACAACGTCCCCACGACTGCCTTGGCCTCTGTACCGCAGAGACAATTCCCTGCTACTCATAAAGATATCCAGCAGACCAATGGAAGCCAAGAGCAGCAACAAAGCTGTCTTTCTGGAGAAAAGAAAGTAGGATACAGAAGGCACTAACAATAGGAGAAAAACTCACGGACTTTATCAAAGGTAAACTTCTGCTCTTGGAAAGCATGGGAGAAAATATTTGCCAAATATCTCAGAATAGACTTGTATGCAGAATATATAAACTTTTTTTTACATTTCAATAATAGTAAGGCAGCACAATTTTTTAAAATGTAGGAGGAGCCACTATACCCAAAGTATACATATAATCAATGAACACACATAAGGATGCTTAGTATCATAAATTAGGGAAATGCAAGTCACAAGCACAATGAGATTCCACGACACACTACTAGAAGGGTTTAAGTTAAAAAGTGGCTGTAATAAGGTGAAAATATGGAGAAATTGTAATCCTATAATAAAACCATTTGGGAACTCAGTGTGATGTTCTCTTATAAACAAATCCAAGAGGAATAAGAATTTATGCCCATAAAAAGATTTTACAGAAATGTTCAAGCAGTTTTATTAACAATAGCTATTGTAGGAGCTGGGGATTTAGCTCAGCAGCATAAGTGCCTGCCTTGCAAGTGTGGGGTCATGAGTTCAATCCCCGGTACCACAACAACAAAAAACAATAGCTATTGTTAATAGCAACCAGCTATTGTTAATAACTAGAAGTAACCTATCTACCAGCATGTGAAGGAGTAAACAGGTGCATTAGTACAATACAACAATGCTCAGCAATAGACAGACATGAGTTACAGACATCAGCAAGAACATGTGTGCACTGAGAAGCCAGACACAAAAACAGCACCTCTTGTGGGATTTCGTTTATGAAATTCTGGGGCAGGCAAAACTAATGGATGGTGATAGCATGCCGAGCAGTGGTTACTGAGGGCCAAATGGAATGGGGCTGACTGTTACAGGGTCCCAAGGTACTCTTTGGGATGACGAAAAATGTTCGAGTTCATGTCTGGGATTATGCTTGCTGCACTCTAATGGCACATTTTGAGCGGATGTATTTTATTGACATATACTAGACCTCAATAAAGACGACAACACAGTTAAAACAAGAATAGAGACCCAGTCCTCATTTTGCTTATGGCCCAGCAGAAAAGCCAGACAGGAAAAAAACAATTCCAAAACTGATGGGGGTTGATGTGGCATCACGACCAAGACTGCACAGAGGAGGTGTTTATGAGCTAGACTTTGCTGAGCAGGGAAGAAAACAAGGGGAAGGGAACTTTAAGGTAAAGGGAACAAGTAAGGTGACACAACAGTCATGAGAAGACAGATTTCTGAGAATGGAAAGACATATCCAGGAAATAATCTTCAAATTTATTTTTCTAAATTTTTTTTTTGTGGGACTAAGGACTGAACTCAGGGCTTTCACACTGAGGTAGCTGCCCAGTCTTTTTTACACTGAGCTACATCCCAGGATCTCCATACATTGCTAAATTGCCCAGGCTGGGCTTGAATTTGTGATCCTCCACAAATTTGGGTAAGAATAATAAGCCTCAGCCTTCCACGGTCCCAGGATTCTAGGTGTGTACCACCTTGCCTGGTTTAAAATCCATTTTTAAAGTAACAGTTTTACTAAAGACAACAGTTTTGCAGAGCAGGTGAGTGAAATGCACTGCTTTTCTCTCTGAATACTACTGTAAGCTCAAAGAAATAATACACAACTCCAAGGTTTCTATTCTCAATAAATAAGAGGATACACATTGTTATATTTCTCCTCTTTCAGAAAGTTTAAACTACATTCACTGATCTAAGATTTTTTCACTGAACAGGATTTGTGGCAATGTTTCATAATCTTCTAGGAAGAAAAAAAACTCTGGTATGTTTTCATGATGCACTTTGTAGAGGAATGCACTGAAATCACGAGTCATGCAAAAATCTTCTGTTGTCATTACACAATATTTTAGGAAACATATCATGATGGTTATGTTAGTTTTCTGGTAACACAACAAAACACCTGGACAAGATAATTCACTTATTTTACTTTATTTTATTTTTGCTCACAGTTTAGAGGGTCCAGTCCAAGTCTGGAGGCACTTTGGGCCTTTGCTTTGGGCCTCTAGGAAGGCCATACATCATGGTGGATGGAGATGGCACAAACTGCTTAGCTCCTAAGCCAGGAGGTAGACAGGGAAGAAGAGACGGGGGTCCCCAAATCCCTTTTTAGGGCACACCCTCATCAACTAAGGACATCTCACTCAGCTTCACCCCCTACAGGTTCTATCACCTCCCAACGGGGCTACCCTAGGGGCCAACCTTTTAACATACAGACCTCTAGGGGACATTCAACATCCAAAGTAGAATAGTACTGTAACCTGTAGGCAAACCATTTTCTGTGTTTTGCCATAATTCATTATTTCAGGGTATTATTCTTATCTCTCCCACAAAATGTGGGAAGTAAAAATACCATTTTGGATGATTCTGACTCTAATGGACTGCCCAATTAAATTGACTTAAACAATACAGAGATTAATTTTTTAAATCTAACCTTTTTGTATATTCACAGAAACTAAGATGGCATTGCTCATAAGACACATCCTGCATTGAGAAATACTGAAATATAACAATATATCTCAATCAAAACAAGAGGGTCAGGATTTTAGGACCTGCTATTTCAGCAGTTCGAGGGCATCATCAAGGACTTGGATTTTTTTTTTTTTTTTACTCTTCGCCTTCATAGGCCCTTGGCTCTTGCTTTGAATGGATGCAGAATGGCCACAGCAGTCCCAAACACTGCAACTTCACAATGTCCCAAAGCCAGAAGAGAGGCTGTTATTTATTTATTTATTTTTTTATCGGTACCAGGGATGGAACTCACAAACGCCTGCTTGTAAGGCAGGGGCTTATGCCGCTGAGCTAAATCTCCAGCCCCAAGGCTGTTACTTTTAAAAAGAAGAAAAATTTCCCAGTCTTGGCCTGAATCACACTGCAGACAAGATGGGGGAAGAAAAGCTTGCAAAGTACAACTGCTCCAAGTGTCAACAGCTAGCTGCTGGTATATGACACATTCTCTTTTTAGTTCTTACTAGTGAAATTAAAGATTCTTTTCAGTGTTGAGGAATCAACTTCAGTAGTGCAAAGACCCTGTTTTCTATTTCTGTGGGTTTTAGATAGCATGTCTTAAATCCATCAGTGACTTCCAACACAGCAGACCACCTGACTAGCTTGTCCTTGGCATTTAGAGCCTGGGACCCTAACTAGCACCGGGGAGTCCTGCCCTGTTTGGTTTGTGATCTATTTCTGTCCCATGTTAATGAATACAGAACTGCATTACTCTTGTATAACAGCTGTGCAATAATTCCACTGTGTATAAAACTCAGACGTAGTGGTTCCCACTATCGATGCGTGCAGATGGGATCACAGTGAAAGCACTTCAGTCACAGCCAGTCTGTCCAGAGTGGCTGCTAGCTCTTTGAAGTCTCCCTCATTCTTTCTGGACTGCCTCTGCAGTTGTACCTCGAGTGCACTCAGGCACAGGGCCTCCAGTATTTTACTCCAGCTTCTTGGCCCCTGTCCAGCTGCCTGTGGCACCCCATCGATCTCAACAACACTGCCGTTCACCACAGTGCACTGCAGAGGATGCTGTGTCCCGGGACGGCCTTCAAGAGCCTGGATCTTTACAGTCTTTTCCAAATTATTATAGAAAGCTAGGTTAGGTAGAAATGTTATAGGCAGTCAGACAGGGCTAGGTGCTGGCAGAAGCCAGTGCAAAAGATAAGATATTACAGCTGTGGATAGAGGTGCGTTTGTTGAAGGCCAGGCTTCAAGACAAAGATGGAATGACTACACGTCCATTATTTCTCTGAGGGGTACACAATAATGATAGATATTTAAATAGCATCCATCACCTGGGTGGGGGACCAAGACCTTCTTGACTCATCCCTTCCATGACCTTTGCAGGTCCCCTCTTATTTCTTAGGCAGGAGTTGTCATTAACCTCAATAAATATTCCCTGCTGTTAATGTTTTTGACTCAGAATTCATTCTTCGACTTTGGGGAATATAAACTTGGCATATTGGACATCTAACAGGTTGGGAGTTAAAATCTTTCCCTTATATCATTTGGAGGTCATATGTCATTCCTATAACCAAATCACCTCCTGCAGACTCTCACCCGCATTCTTCCTGCTATGAAGGGGCTCAAAACAGTAAAGCAGATAATCAGCATTCTCTTTTAACTTCTGAATTGTCTCCAACCACCCATGCAAACCAAAAATTGTCTTCTGGGGCCAGAGATATAGCTCAATAGCAAGGTCCTGAGTTCAATTCCTGGTACCCACAAAAATAACCTTTTCCCTTCTCTTTTGCCCTTTGAAAGTTTTTACATATTAGATCAATTCATTTATGGTACAGAACAACTTAGTGCTGATGAAAGCATAAATTCCACAGGCTGGGATTAAATCCTGATTCTGCCAGTTACCAGTTGTGAGAAACGTAAGGCAAGTTCCTCCGTCTCTCAATGCTTCTGTTTCCTCTTCTATAAAATGGGCTAATGCTAGTACTTCACAGTGTGGTTGTAAGGTCTAAAGAGTTAACATACATAAAGTACTCAGTACAGTGGCCATCACCTAGTGCGTGCGCTAAGGTGTTAACTATCATTCTTACCTTAGCCACAGCAGATCACTTGCTCACTATAGCAGTTTCATAGCCAGCTTTTGAGAAATTTCTCCAAACTCTCCCAGCAAGTCTCAGAGGATGTACACTCTTCCTCAAATAATTTGTCATCAAGGGTAAAACAGAGAAAGCCAAAGGCCAAAGTTCCCGCTGGATGAATTAATGATGATTTGCTCAGTACTTACTGAGAGCAGAGACAGCCAAATACCAAACCTGGCACTGTGAGGAACAACAAAGAAAAAGAAATCTTTTTTTGCTCTTGAGTTTACAATCAAACTCTTGCTACATCACTTGCTTCCCATTGGATCAATATTCCCTGAATGACTATACTTGGAATCTTATTGTTGCCCATGGGGGAGGGGCAGAGAGAAAGAAATGTGGCAACTAGAAAATGCCCCCAACATATTACCACATACAGAAGAAAACAGGACTAAATGCCCCAGAGATCATTGTTAATGGGCTGATGGCAAAGAGAAGAGGGGAATGCAGAAAGGGATCTATGGACTTGCAGCAAATTTAAACTCATTTCAATTAGGTGCAAATTCTGGCCCTGACTTTTTTTTTACAGTGCTGGGGACAGGCCCTATCTTTGATATGGCAAGGGCTCTATCACTGAGCCACATTCTGGTCTGGATGTGTTTACTTTGCTTTTTTTTCCTCCCCTCACTCAACTAAGGGAACCTTGGCTGCTGTGGGGCTTCCAGCTCAGCTCATGGGTTAGATGGCCTTAGAGACACCCCGTGCCCTCTCACCCCAATTCTTCCTTCCCCTCCCTCTCATCCTACTTGCCTTTTCCTTCTCGGTTTCGCTCTCTTGCCTTCCTGGGGACTGGAACCCAAGGCTTTCGCCATGAGCTACATTTCATTTCCTTTTAAATTTTATTTTAAAACGTTGAGACGGGGTTTTACTAAATCGCTAGATTGCCCAGACCAGGCTCAAAGCTGTAATTCTCCGGCCACGGCCCCCAAGTGCTGAGATTACAGGCCTGCCCACCAATAGTTAGCTCAACTCAATTTTAAAAGCGCTCCACTGGGACGTCAAACGAATCCCCTGAGAAGCTCTTTCACTAACTCAACGAACCACCCCAAATTACCAAGGAAATCCAGCTGCGCCTCAGTTTTCTCCGCGGTTCCTGCTCCTTCCACCTTCGCCCTCTCAAACTCGCCCAGGTACTGTGTGCTAAGCTCTGCGACCTCCTGGTAGAAGTAACTTCCACCTTCTCCCCCGCACCTCGAACGGGGGATCAAACTCATGACCTTGCCCTAGTTCACCTTGGTTTTCAAACTGCTGTAGTTCTCCACAGACAGCCTTCCCACCCCTGACCCTCTGCTGCCCCTGGTGGCGGCCACCATTTTACCCTTTCTCCAAGTACCTTAGAGGTGAAGACTCAGCCGTCCCTCAGCGACGGTTGTTTTGGACTACACTTCCCATGAGCCCCTTCTCATCGCGAGATCTCCGGCGAGACTGCTGGGAAAACTTGCGCGCAGGCAGACTCTCGCGTTCTTTCCGAGGTCGACCTCGTGTGTGGAAGTCATGGCTGTTCGCCTGCGTGCCGAACCTGGTGAGCAACCTCAGGATTTGGGCGATGGTATAAGGTTGCGGAGATAGGAAAGTGGGTTTTTTTTTTTTTTTTCTAATACTCAGGGCCTCTTTCTCAGACCTGAAGTGGCAGTGACCAGCCCGATCTCCTTACAGAGTTGAGAGGGAGGGGGTTGAGCTTCTGGATGAGAAAATGCTTTCCAGAAAGTGAGGTTTTTGGCTTTGTTTTGTTTCTGTTTTTTGATTTTTTTTTGATTGGAGAAAACTGAAGCCAGTTTTTGGCATCGGAGAGCTTCTGGAAGACAGAGTCCTTGCACCCAGCGCGACCCAGTGCACCTCAAAGCCATTCCTAGTTAAGCATTTAAGCCTTGGGGCTTGGGGTCTCCCCAGCCCTCGCAGAGGCACTCTGATCGTGGCAGTTGTTAGTGTCATTATCTGGAGTAGTAATGTGTGAATACATAACACGAGCATGACCCAATTAGCCATTTTTGTTTAAGGACTACATTTATTTAATGAATGGCATTATAGATTCTGGAAATTCATGTCTTTTAATAACGAACCTTTTTTCTTCCCTGAAGACCCTTTGACTTCTGCAAAGGCGAGTTCAAAAGAAAAGGAGACTGTCTGGGATCTAAGTGTTCCCCAAGAAAGCAGAAATGGTGTAATGGTCTATCTGTGGTTTACATTTTGTTCTGAAGCTAAGTTCAACTGAATGCATGTATGCTGGTCTAAGTCCATTTAGGGTAAGAACTCTGCCCAGAATTTACCATTCTAATTCTTGAATGTTAAAAATGGAGGGTGGGTGCTGGTGTTGCTTGGGACCACTAGGTGTCACTGTTTAAATGAAGCCAATTTGAATACCACTGTGTAAAGGATGAAAAACGGAGGAGTTTGGCCTCACTATGTAGCCGGGGCGGGCCTCAAACTCCGCTGTGATCCTGCTGCCTCGACCCCCTGAGTGTTGGGATTGCAGGTGTGCGCCACCACCCCCAACCTTTTTTTTTTTTTTTAATTTGTTCTTTTGTAGCATCCAGAAATAAAGACCTGTGCACTGAAAAAACAAAACAAACAAAAAAACGGATGAGTTATGGTTGGCTTAGGAGTTAATGGTTGAGCTGAGGATGATTTAAAGTTATCCCTGTCTGAAATGCCATCTTGTGGAGTCCTGATTACTGAAGCTCAACTTTTAACCATGTTTTGAGAATAAATTCCTTAAAGGGAGTTCATGTTAGAGTGAAGTTTGTTTTCCTTGTACATTAAAGGTGCTGACTGTGGACTTTGAAAGAAATCATATGAAAATTCATCTTACAGTGTTGAGATGAAGGATCTTCATGATGAAATTGCCATAAATAGTAAGATTTTTAGCTATTTCATAGAATTCCATAGGTTATTGTCCGTCCCCTGTAAGTAATGGTTTGTTCAATTTGGAAATGGGTGAGTCACAATTGTGATGGCCTAGATTAGGGGAGTAGTACAAAATTATTTCTGTTTAGGTAGATTTTTCCCTCCACTTGGCTGTTATGTAAGTTATAAAACAGGCTTAAGGGAGTGGTCTTGCCCACAGTTACACAGTTGATGTTAGGTGAGATCTGTGGTTTAGAACTGTAGATGAGAGGGTGCTGCTCCTAGCACCTAGTAGGTACAGAATAACCTACAGCCTTGAAAGGTCCGTATTAGACTAAAGATCTAAGTACCAGCATTGGCCTGCTACCACATGATGCCATTAGTACCTCGTTTGCTTTTTTATTTGTAGTAACAGTGGTTTCCAAACCTGGTTATATGTCACAATCAACCTACAAAGTGTTGAAGTGTATGCATTCCTGGGCTACACTTAACTGCCACAGAGGAGAATGGCTTTACTTTGAAGCCCAATAACCAAGACCAGACATGTAGGAGCAATTAGTTGATCTGATCTGCATTTAGCTCAAGGATTTTATTATAGCAAGATTATAGCGCTGGCTATTTTTAAGTAGCTCTTGAGGCAGATCTCTAATCCTCTATTTTTAAAAAAACTGACAGCCCTGTGCTTGTTCTGCAGAGTAGTTTTATGTACTAGTGGATGCAGGAGAAGTGAATGACCTTTGTGTATAGTGTTGTCTCTTGGCAGGAGATGCAGTGGGTGCAGCTGGCCTTCATTAAGCTAGCTGAAGTGATGAGTGATCTGTACTATCCTGGGCATTTTACTGCCTGCTAGAATGCATTTTGCCTCCTGAGCTCTCAGACACTGCTGAGTGACCCTGTCTTAAGGATAGGCACTATTCATGTGCCAAGGGTGCAGACATTGGGTACATCTAGACATTAGATAGAAAGAAATAGCTTTCGCTAAAGAGGGAAAACATCTGAATAAAAGGTTTCAGGGGTTTAGCTCAGTCAACAAGCACCTGTCTGCCTAGCTAGTGTGAGGTTGATCCCCAACCCCCCCACACACACATTTTTTTTTTTTTACAGTAAAGGTTGGTTGAGAGTCACATGAGGAAAATAAATCACAATTTGTTAAGAAAAAATAGTTTGCATATATTCTTGGGAGTGTTGTCTGATGCAGAGTGGGAACTGAGTCTGTGATGATTAAAGTTATCCCTGTCTGAAGGCAAAGGCCTTTCTGTGTGGATTGTGGATCTCTGAAACTCAGCTTCCCATTTGCTTTCTATAAAATTCAGCAAGATTTTAAAAAGTACTGTGTATATCTTCTTAAGTAGGTGTTTTCACATATCTCGTCCTTGACAGGTACATTCTCGGTCTCAGTTTCTGAGGCTCAAAAAGGATCCTTGGGTAGCTGCACTTCGTTGGCGGGCCCGGACCCAAAATGTATCATTCATGTAAGCAGAGAAGGCCTGAGCAGCCTTGAGTGGAGTGTTAATTCTTTTTGCACGCCTTGCCCTGCTTTGAAGGCTGTGAAAATTGACTGGTAGACTTTAACCTAATTTTGTTTTTGTTTCTAGGTTGTTTTTTTTGTTTGTTTGTTTGTTTTTTTTGTATTTTTACCGGTACCAGGGATCGAACTCACGACCACAGACTTGCAAGGCATGCGCTTATGCCGCTGAGCTAAACCCCCAGCCCCGTTCCTAGGTATTTGTGATATGAGACAGTGCTGAACTGCTTTGCAGGCATGCGAGAGCTCCCGATAACTGTAAGTTTTGTGTCCCTAAGAAGCCCCCCAATCTATGATGGTTAATTATCCCTATCTGAAAATCTCAGCTGAAGGGAAATAATTCATTCTGTGGTTTAGGGGGTGGCTGCATCCTCCAAAGGAAGTTCAGGCTCTATCAGGGATGGAGCTTGTGGCTCAGGGAGTTGCGTGTGTCTGGCTGAGGCCCCCATTATAATATGTCCTTCTGGAGCTTAAAAGCCAAAGGTCTAGTTGGCTTGTTAATGCCAGTCCCTTGATTTATGCTCATTGTGGAATGAAAGAATTATTTGTCATGTATTTTGAGAAAATGAATGCTCTTTTGAAACTGATAGGGGAATGTATAATGCATGCCAGCTTGTGGCAGTGAGAATGGTTAATGACTGTCCTTGTGTTCAGAGCAATGTCCTGACATTTAGGAAAGAGGGTACCATGGCCCTGGCAGAGCTGTTTGGTTTCCAGGAGCTCCCATGTGTAGCTTACCTTCTGTCTGAATAGCATAGCTGGCCCAGAGCTGCTGCTTGGGTTCTAAAAACTGGCACATGAGCAGGAAAGAACCAAAGTGGTGATGGGGAAGACGGTGTCTTCTCACTTAAATGCCACACTTGAAATGGACACAGATTACCCCTCTTTCCTGTTGAGATCTGCAGCTGTTTGTAGGCTCCTTGCATTTAAGGTCCTTTTTTCCCCCTACTTTCTTTGAAGGATTTGGGGTGAGATTTGATGAGCTTGGGCACTGACTGCAGTAGCTTATAACTTGAAAATAAAGCAAAGTAAATTGGCGGGTTAGCAAAATGAGAAAGCTCATTGTCATCATTGACTGCTTCTGAGAGCAAGCGTGATTGTTCTGTTGGGCGCAAGTAAACCCTAAGGTTCATGTTCAGAGTGAGTTAAATATAAATATCTGTGCTGCTTACTGGGAATTACTTTTTCTTACCACTTGGCAAAAACTTTACCCTTAGATGCCATCCTTAAAACTTGTCATCTTGGACCTTCCCCACCCTGCACTGAAGCTTTTGATCCTGCCCAGTTGTGGTCTCAACACACACATAAATAATGTCCATAAATAAAGGTTACATTGAGTCCTAGACTGATGGCCCTTTTTTTTTTTTTGCTCCTAAATTATCTCTTACATTTTTCAGCTAGGCCATGGTAGTACTTGCCTATAATCTCAGCACGCTGGGAGTCTCAGGCAGAACACCAAATTCAAGCCTAACCTGGGTAATTTACAGACCCTTTTTCAAAGTGAATGTCTAGAGATACAGTTTTCAGTTCAGTGCAGTGCAGAGGCCCTGGGTTTAACCACTACTAACACCAAAAAAAAAATTAGCTTCTGTTTTGAGTCCCTTAGTTGGTTGTTTACTGCCTGTTCTTTTGTTTTACAGGGTCTCTCCCAGTGACGTTGGACCATATCACGCAGACCTGTTTCTCTCGATGTCTATAAAACCATTTCCCCAAAAGGGACTTAAGGTTATAGTTCTTTGGGTTTTATCTAAGAAATCTTTGACCGTTAGTGAAGTTAAGAGTGTGAGAACATTGAGAATCCTGTTAAGGTGGCATAATCTCCCATACAGGAGGGACTGCAGAGATTGTACATTGAAATTGACATGTGTATACTCTGTTGGGAGCCTAATAGGACAATGTGTTTAGCTTGGGGAAGACTTTCTAGGTGGGTTTTTTAAACTTCAAAGCACAAATAAAGGTTTTTTTTTTTTTTTTAATTGACTCACTGCCTGGTTGGTTACTTGTTCTTTGACATTTGGAAAACACATTCTTAGGATTTTTGCAGGATAATAACCCTAATTATAGACTTTGATATTTTCTGTTTTCATAGTTGCCTGCTAATTCGTAGCCCCACTAATGCTACCCACAAACATTGTGTTTGCTTTTACTTCAAATTTAAAGAAGTGCTGTGTTCCTGGCACTTGCAGTTTTGATGGGGCAGGTAAACAAAATGTCAAAGCACTGGTGGAATAGCTGGCGATAGGGCTTCCCTGTCACTGTATGATGGGATGGGGTTCCAGGGATCTTTAATAGCAGCTGTGCTGACTGCCTTCTAAATGTCCCGGAGATGGGGGACTCTGTCCCAGTACCAGTAACTGAAGAGTTGTGGTTTCCCACGTGTCTGATTCCCAGTCTCTGGAACGCTGTAAGCTTTCCCAAGTAGCTGTGTTAATATTTAAAGCCCAGGGTTCATTCCAATGATCAGATGTCTCTGGGTTTCTAAAGTTCTGTTAAGTGTCTGATGACTGAGTTCATCCTCATATCTCCTAAGAGATGACGGAATCAGCCTTCTACAACCATGGAGTCAGAGGCTGGTTCCCAGGCCCTGGTAAATTGGCCCATGTGGGTAGGTATTACCTTGGGAAGTCCACTCACCTGTACTTGGGGAGATGTTTTCCCTCTGCTGTGTACAGTACAGCACATCAAGCTTCAGGACTCGTGTCACAAGTTAGCAAGCCAGAGAATAGCAGGGCTTGGTCAATGTGCAACCCAATTAGATGAGAAATCATTTTTGAAGCCCACAAAATAAACTTGTCTGTCAGCTAGCTAACTTCAATTTTATTGAAGTTGTGATATGAGGGTTCAATATCCAGTAATGTTATCCTGGTAACATACATTGCTAGAGGGACCCCCATTCCCCATCAGAGTCCCTGCAGTTGATACCCACACAGCAGGATCTTTAATCCTTAGATTATGGGCTTTTTCCTCCGTGGCGTTGGATATAGAACTTGACCTAGGCGAGCACCCTTTGACTGAGGTACCCCCCCTCTCCATTGTCCTGAAGTTCTCTAAGTCCTCCAACAGAAAAAGAGAAAATGGTCATCAGTGATTTATGCAGTTAAGTGTCAAATTACGTTCTGCTTTTTCTTTCTCATGAAGCAGAAGTTCAGTTCATGTTTCCAGAGTTGAATAGCTTTGGCATTGGTGTGGAGATGACTTCTAGTGGTGAGGTTGGCTGTACCCACTGCTTGGTCTTGGTTACTGCCAGGTAGGCTGTACTGGGCCCACCGACATCCTGAAAGTCCATGTGTGTCCTGCTGGCTTTGAGCTGCTTGTCTTGGGTATGGCTGGCTGCCTCATCTTGAGAGTGTCCAGTTTAAAAATGAGTCCGGCAAAGTGGTCCACTTGACCGTGGCCACATGAAGATATCTGTCAGATGCAGGAGTTTGCTTGCACGAGGCAAGGACAACATGGGGTGACCTGCCTTGAATGGGCTTTGATGTCAGTCACAAGTTCACCCCGGTGTCCTTTACTGGGAAGGAGAGAGTCAAGGACTTAATGCCTCTCTCAAAGGTTGAAACGTCAACAAGGCTTTGGCTACTTGACCAAAGCAGAGGAATCTACACTTCGGGGTTAGCGCTGGTACAGCCAAAGGATGCCGGCCTCGTGTAGGTCCCTCCACAGGGTGCCTTCTAGGCGCAGATCGTGGTTTGCATAGAATTTCAGTGACTTCTTCTGTCTTTCAAAATAGTGGTCAGAATATTTCTGGTAATTTTCGGTGATGAATCCATAAGCACTTACCTGGAAAGAACACTTGAATTAGTATAGTCTTCACTGAGCTCCTGCAGGGCAGGCAGACTTGTGTAACATGGATTCAGAAAGGTGCACCCCCTCATGCGGGCACCTGTACGAAGATAAACTCGGGTAAGCACTGTGTGCTTTCTATCCGTTCCTTCAGGCCAGCTTTCCAACCCCAGATGAGAACAGACTGGGAAATGGGTAGATTAAATAGGACCCTGCCAACAGTGCTAGGGAGGGCAGAGCTGGGTTGGAACTTGGGTGACTCAGCAGGACGACAGCCCATTAACTACAGGACTCCCATTCTGATGAACTGCAGCCAAGAGACCTGTCCGGTGGTGCATGCCTGGAATCTCTGTATTCTGAGAGGCTAAGGAGGGAGATTAGGAGTTTAAGCCCCACCTGGGCAATTTAGGGACTTAGCAAAACCTTTTAAAAAAAGGATTTGGGGATATAGCTCAGGGTGAAAGCCCTGGGTTCGGTCTCCTGGTATATAGGATTTAGGGAAAGACATAGAGCCAGCTCTCATCCTGGCTTCCCCATGGGTCCGGGTCTGTTTTAAAACTGCTGTTTAACTTTCTGCCCCAGCAAAGTTCATACAGGGAGTGTCCCACCACCGAGCTCTCATCCTGTGATTGCAGAGTCACCGTGTGTGGAAGGCTAAGTTTGCCACGCCACACTGTCTGCCGCGCCATAACGTCCCCACGACGTCCCTGTAGAAAGATGTCTCGAGTTCTGTTGAGATTTTCCTCAGAAAGGCAATTTGATTTGAACCTTAAATACCACATAGTGCAGGACGGAAGCGTTGGGGACAGGTAGCTGTGGGGGTGGAGGCAAGGCTGGCCCAAGACCCATCCTGTAGAGGTCCCTGCATAGTGGCTACACAAGCAGGCCTGGTGGGTGTGCTTGTGGCTGAGGAGTCTTTTGCCATGGGGTACATGCCAAGAGTTTTCATCAGAAGGTGACTCTCAGGGAGTGAGTATCGGGCCATGCTGAGTCGCATTTGCATGCATCTACTGCTGCCTAGGGCTCCTACCTGGTCACAGGTGTGCAAAGCTGTCAGCAACATGAGGGCCCCAGTGCTAGGCATGTATAGATCTTCAAAACCTCTGTTAATCAACTCTGATTTCAAAAATCTGAAAGCAAAAAAAGAGGTATTAATGCCTGAGAGAGACATCTAGGTGTTGCTGGATTGGTGTTCCACTCCTATAATCCCAGCACTCAGGAGGCTGAGGCAGGAGGGCCACTATCATTCGAGGCCAGTGTGGGCTACATAGTGGGGTCAAGGTCACCCTGGACTACATAATGAGACCCTGTCTCAAACTAAATAAATAAATAAAATAAAAAGATATGTAGGTGTTCCTTACTAGCTGATGGTTGTACCATTCTGTTGCATAGCTGTTCAAACACATTGGAAAACTTCAAAGATTTCTAGCACTGCTGCAACCCAGCCAACTCCCTAATTGGGGAAAAAGCCAAGTGAACTAAATGCAAGCCTCTTTGAAATAAACACCTTATGTGTGGTACTGTGAGATAAACATCACACCAGATGCAATCCTTGCCCCTGTGTTCCCTCCCACCCCTGGGCTGTTAGGTAACCACAAAGCCTCGGAACAGGTGGCCCGTTCACTGGGTCTGAGAGCTAAACTTTGTACTATCTGACCTGTTGACTAAGCAGATTTCCCCTGGGTCTGGACTGGGGGTAGTGCCCACCTGTTGCAGCTTCAGCCCTGGATTTGTGTCTAAGCTTGGCCAGGCGGGCCACCCAGATCCACTCGCACCCCTCCATCTCCTCTCTGTCCTGGGATGTTTGCCCCTTTGGTCTCTACAGTTTTTCAGCCACCCAGTTCTTTGTTGCAGGGCCTGTCCTGTGCACTGTGGACTTTTCGGTGGTATCCCTGGTCTCTGCCTATTAGTGGTGGCCTCTCTGCTTTCAACAATCAAAAATGTCATCCTGCAAGACTGAACACTAACCCCACGTACTCTTAACGTTGCAGACCTCCGATTCCAGGAAGGGACAGAGGGCAGGAAGGAGAAAGCCAGAGTGGCCCGTGTTAGACTGTTTGTCCTCCAGTTTCCTTCCAAGGTCACCTTGGGCTAGTACAGCTTCTAATACCCACTACGGCCAGAATTTCCTGTTATGCTGGTTACTAGAACACTTCCATCAAGGTAGTAAGTAAGCCAGTAACAAAGGATAGAAAATGCTTGGCACTGTGCCAGGCACATGGCATCGGTTGTCACAGGTCACTGTGAGTGAGGCTCCTGGATGGCACGGCACGGATTCAGGTATGAACAGGGAAAGGTGGGTTGCCATTCTTCCCAGTTCCCGCCCCATCCCCATCCCTGCCACTGTACCTCTCTTTCAGGTAGCTGATGAAGTCTGGATTCAGTAGCTTGAATTTACTGGCGGAAGCTTTGGGTCCGAAGTAGGTCTGAGGCCTAGAACCCATGTTAGAAGTGCACAGAGCGCCCAGGACCATCATATTGCAAGTGGTAACTAGAGGGGAGCGGGAAGGCTCTGGGGTGCCGGTAGAGGGAGCGGTAGGCCCGGGGCTGGGAGTAGTATCGGGAGAAGGGGGTGTAGAAGGTGGCTGGTAGCACTGAGGGCACCACGTGTGGCTTCCCCTTCAGCAGGACTTCAGTGGGTAGGGAGTAGGAGAGGGAGGATGGCGGTGTGAACAGGGCAGGGGGTGTGGGGTAGGAGCAGTTTTCAGAGGGGTAGTAGGGGGGTGGCGGGAGGAGGGGGAAGTAGAGGGAGTCAGGGGGCTTCTGGGGCTTTGGGGCAGGGCAGGGGAAGTCACAAGGAAAGCACTGGTTTTGGGGAAGTGGAGCTGTAGGGGGCTGGAAAAAGGGGGGCTCTTTCAGGAAGCGGGGCACATAGGGGGTGATATAGGATGGGATGTTCCGAATGGGCCCAATGTAGGAGGCGGAACCGGCAGGGCTGTAGGAAGGAGACCTGGGGTTCAGGGGCAGATTTTGAGAGAAAGCTTTTAAACCAGATTGGGAGGGAGACTTGGAGGCAGGCGGGGTGCTGGTGGGGTTAGGGCCTCGGGACACATGCTGGATGTGAGGACTGGGGCTCAGTGAGGAGGTCCGGGAAGAGGGCTGCGAGGGGGGCCGGGAGGAATTAGTCCCCCGTGGAGGGGATGGGGAAGGTGCTAAGGCCCCAGAGCTGGCTTGGGGCTGCTGGCTGAGAGGGGTGGCAGCGTGGTTGGAGCGGGACTGGGAGGGGGACTGGGTGGGGGATGGAATAGGGGTATGGGAGGGGGAGCTCATTGGTGTTGGGGAGCCTAATGTCCACCTGATGTCCCTGAGGCAGTGCCCCCAAGAGCCCAGGCCCACCAGCCCGTGTCACAAAGCCCTGACCAGCAGCAGAACTAGGGAGCAATTGTTGGGTAATCATAAGGGCGGGGCAGGGGCCGGCCTGGCTTTTGTGGCTTAAAGCTGCTCTTGCCAAGTAGTAAGGCTCATGCCTGTAATCCCAGCCCTCAGGAGGCTGATGGAGATTTACAGATTTGAGCACAGCCTGGATCATTTAGTGACTCGATGAGACCAGGTTTCAAAGTAAAGAGGGGCATGGTGGCTCATGTCTGTAATTCCAACACTCGGGAGGCCAAGGCAGGAGGCTTGTTGCAAGTTCGAGACCAGCCTGAGCTAAAAAGTGAGCTCAAGGCCAGCCTGAACTGCATAGAGAGACCCTGTCTCAAAAAGACAAGTAAAATAAAAAAAGGGTAGGGACAGAGGGGGCAAGGGATGAAGGCCCAGGGTTCAGCCTCTAAAACCACAAATAAACCAGTCCCCCCAAAGCGTGCTGTGCTCTTGGGAAGTGGCTGAGCACTGGGAGGAGGCTGGTCATTTCCGACCAACCCACTGAGAGATCCAGGCACAACCTCGGGCCAGGCCCAGGATGTGCTTCATGGAGGCTGCACCCACGCCCAATGCCCTACTGCACAGGAAGGTGGGAGAGAAGATGAGGGCCCTTCATTCCCACCTCTCAGGACGCCGGGCCTGCTTTGCCATGCCTGTGTCTCCTGGGTGCCTGCCCACCAGGATGAGTGCTGGGTCCTGGCCTCAACTCTCAGTTTGCAGAACAACACGGGCAGGGGGCCAGGAGACCCAGCTGCGGAAGGGCCCCTGGCACTGCAGCCCCATCCGTATCCCTGACCAGCTGCTGGTGGCTGGACAGGAGATGGAGCCAGCAGCCTGTGGCTGAGGAGCCAGGTACCTGCCCCATACAGAAAACCCCCGAGGCAACGGGATCAGGAGGGGTTCATGGTCTTTCCAGAGGCTGGGCAAAAAGGACACAGTGCTTCAGTGTTGAATTACAGTGACTGGATTACTGAGTTCTTAGGGATGTCCTCACTGCCCTTCACTCAGTTTCTCTGCCTCACTGTGGACCTGTGAGCAAGGGGCTAGGCTGTCACAGCCTCACGCCAGCATCTCTGCTGCTCACCTGTCTCCTTTGTCGGGGCCCTCGGGGACAGACACGTCCAGGATGGCCGATCGGAGCATCAGGTACTCACGGATGCTGGCGGGGATGAAGATGTAGCACAAGTGCTGCCGGGCAAAAGCCAGGCCGCCCTCAGTCGCAGCTCGGAGGGAAAGCGCCGTGTAATCTCGGCACCTGGGCTAAGGGAGTTTGCTTGTAGCCTGTATTCCCACGCTGAGGTGATGTGGTCATCCCACTGTACATTCACAGTGCTTCCAAGCACCTCTCTACAAGAGGTGAAGCCTTAGCCAGCGATGGCAGCAGATGCCTTTAATCAGTCACTCTGGGAGGCTGAGACAGGAGGACCACACATCTAGGCCCAGCCCAGGCAACCTAGTGATTCAGTCAGAACTTGTGTCGAAGGTAAAGAATGAAAAGGACTGAGACTATAGCTGAGTGTGAAGGCCCTGGGTTCAATTCCCAGTGCTGGAATAAAAAGACCTGGGTGTGGTAGCACACGGCTGTAATCCTAGCACTCGGGAGACAGAGGCAGGAGGATTGCTTTGACCTCCAGGCCAGCCTGGGCTACATAATGAGTTCAAGGCCACCCTGAGCTACATAGTGACACTCTGTTCTAATAAATAAATGTTTTCCTAAGAAAAAGTGACAAGTGACCGACAATGTATGACTTTGGAGACTAGGTCATAAAAGCTTCTGTGGCTTTTATGTGCTATCATGTTGTGAGGACTCTCAAGTAGCCCACAGAGGGGTGGGCTGTCCTGTGAGAGTGCTGTCCTGACTCAGCTCCCACGGGAGGCTTCAAGACAACAGCGGCATCACCACCGCCTGAGAGGTCCTGAGCCACAGCCACCCCGCTAATCCACTCAGGTTCCCAGTTTCCTGAAACGGTAAGATAGGAAACACTTTCTGCTGAAAGTTTTGAGTTGTTACACAGCAGTGTGTAATTCATGAAGGTGCTGTGGCCACACCAGCAGCTAAGCTGCCTCATTTTGTTCTATCCTAGCGAACAGGCCACTAGGGTGGCTAGGACTCTCTTGAGTGCCCTGGTCAAAGGAAGAAGCTTCTAGAAACCGAGCCATACCTTGTGTAGCCCTGCAGAACCCCTTCCCCAGGGTCTCCCGAGTCCTGCCTATGGCAGCCAGAGCACGTGGGGTGAGAAGTACGGATTTAGGGCAACTGGGTATGGTTGAAAGAACGTGAGTCCGGCAGGCAGCTCAGATGCTGGTTCCCTTTCCCTGGCTATGGCTCGGGCTGTGTTCCTTACTTCCTTTGCTCTGTTTCCCACATAGGGCTATTGTGAGAACTCAAGAGGTCATTCAGTATCCTAGTTAGTGGGCCGTATGGGGAGATGGGAATAACTCCGGTGGTATGACCAAGGTACCTAGAGTTTGATAAGTCTATCTGGGTGACCTTGGGCATGTTCCTGGATTTTTCAGGGTTTGAGTTTTGCCATCTGGAACTGGGTACAGTGGTCCCACTCTTGGCTGCTGTGATGACCATGTCCATGCCCTGTACTATGCTGGGCACAGAGAAAGTTCCCATGCACAGCTCCTACAGGCTGAACTCCTCAGAGAGCGTGAGCTCCTGCCAGATGCAAGGGTACCAAATCCCCACCAGTAAAAGGGTTGCCCTGGCACCTGCCAAATGCCTGGTCTGTTACCAGCATTCAGGGACTAGGAGCCATCTAGCTCCTGTGCTCCGCAGAAAGCTCGAGCAGCTTGGAAGAATGTGGAGCCCTTGCCCAGTTCCTCCTCTTGGTTCAGTTGCTGCATTCTAGGCAGCCAAGATGCCAGCACCACTTATTTCTGTCCACTGGAGATGGGTCTGGAAGCCCTGGGGTCCATCCCTCAGAGGGGCCCCAAGAACACAGTGCTCACCGCCAAGCACAGCGACACGCCCTGTGGGGCCTCACCTTCCCCTGTGGTACAGCAGTGAAGCCCAGGTGCTTGTAGGACCTGAGGGAGTTCTTCATGGTGTTCACGGTGAAACCATAGAAGGAAGTCTTCGTGCCCACATCGTGCTCGAAGTCTTTGATCACCGCTCCGTTGAGCCTGGCCGGGGCAGAGGCACATCAGTGTCTTTGTGTTATACCATGCCATGTGTTTTACTTCATTTTTGTGGCTCTTCACCTGTCCGCATGCCCCTCTTGTGTCTGCACACTCCTTTGGCACCTATGTCCAGAAGCAAGCCCAATGCCCACTCCCCAGTCCTCAAAGGATGCCCTATGAGTGGGTAAACCTGGCCCCTTCCTTCCTGGTCACCTTGCATTCGGGCACCCATGCTTCCTGTTGAGGGTCTGCTGAGCCATGTTTCAGGGCTGTGTGTCCATCCCAGTTGCTTAGGCCTCCACATTGCTTAGCCCTTGATGCCCCGGCCCCTGTCCTCAGGGAAGGTGCTCCCTGGGCCCTGAACTCCAGCTGTCCACACAGCTTTTCTGCCCCCTCCTCCCTAGCCTCTGCCTGCATACCTGAACACGTAGTCATGGGCATCAATATTCAGACCCTGGCGGGACCCATTCAGAATGCCTCCGTTACCCACCACAGCACACCGAATACAGCTGGGAGAGGACTTCCTGGAGTGAGCAAATAGCTTTGCGCTCTCAGATTGGTTCAGGAGGCTCAGGGTGGAGGTGATGGCTGTGGGGGAGCACAAGGTCGGCTATGAGGATGGCCGTCACCAGGGCCACAGATCTTACAAACCACCTCACCTGAGGCCTGGTTCTAGCCCCTCCCAAGAAGCACCGAAGCTAGGCAACCCACTCAGGACCCTTCTATCTCTCTCAGAAGTTTTCTTTCAATAAGTATTTCTGCTCTTAAAAAAAAAAGAAAAGAAAAGCCCAGAAGCTGGGTGGTACCTGAGGGTAGGGTTGGGGAAACTGAGGGAGAGGAATAGGCTTGGCTGGGCCTTCAGTGGCTTTAAGAATTTGAATAACTAAGGGGGAGCCCTATGATCCCAGCCCTCAGGAGGCTGAGGCAGAAAGGTCACCACACGTGTGAGGCACCCTCCCCAGAAAAGAGCTCAACCACGCGGCTGGAGACTGCATGCATTCCACAGGGAAAGTCCCAGATGGGGCACGTTAACTTAACACAGCGGGACCCTGAAGAGTGGCTTGGCCACAACAAGAACCATAAACAGGGCTTCTGAGGACCACCAGCCTGTCTTCAATCCCTGTCAGACTATAGACACTTTCATGCCAAGGAACCCCAGGATGGTGAGACTGGTGAGTGGGGACACCCTCCGCCCCCTGCCTGAGTCCTAGGTGCATGGATGGAGGAGAGAGGGGAGGCAGGACACAACTGGGGACTGGAGGGGAGAAGGTCCAAGTTGCAGATGCTGTGAGTATGGCAGGTCTGGGGGAAGGAGGGCTGGGGTGGGAAGCAGGAGCGGGGAGGGGAGGTGCAGATAATGGGTTACCTTGGCGGGAGAGCCCCTGCCAGCCGTAGGGGGCTTTGTGCCGGCTCAGGCCATCCCAGAGCTCAGAGGTGAAGAGACCGCCCCACAGCAGCACTGGTGTGGAGAAATTAAACAGGCTCTGGAAGTGGTGGTGCTGCCCAATGGCCAGGGAAAGAGAGGACGGGCAGGGCTGGCTCTGGGGGTGAGAAGACAGGAGGGCTGAGTCTGGGGCTGGGAGCTTCCCAGGAGCCTGCAGACGCCATAAGAGAGCTGAGCCACCCTCCGCACTCCAGACCAGGGGCATCCCCAGATCTGATAGTCAAGAAGCTGGTGGTCTGGCAGCCTGATGGGGTCCGAGAGCCTCCGGGATCTAGCCTGTCCACCCCTGCTCCTCCAGATGCCACCCCTCCAGGCTCTGCTGGGCCTGGCATCGTACTACCTTCCCTCAGACATGGTCAAACTTGGTCAAACTCCCTCAGACATGGGTGCTTTTTGGTGAATGGGCATGGCCATCCCTAAGGACCTGGGCTTTGGCATCCACCAGCCTGGATTGAGAGCTTAGCTCTGAAAGTTGTCCCTGTGAGATTCATGCGTGTGGAAGGGCTGTGGGGAAGACTTAAGAGTCAACCCTTCCTCTTCCTGTTGGCGTCTATATTGAACCCATCAAGTGTGCCCGAGCTGCCATACTCAGGGTCATGTAGAACCTTAGGCTGTAGCTGAGGTGTAGTTGTAGACGTAGTTAAGATGAAAACCTCAGGATGTATTTGCAGCTGTTATTAAGATGAGCTTACATTATGCCCTCACTCCAATGTCTTAGCCTTAAAAGGAGGCCACCGGAAGACAGACGATCCTGGCACAACAGAGGGGCATCAGGAGCCACAGGATGCTGGGAGGCCAAGGAGGCTTCCTTAATGCCCTCCGGGTGAGCATGGCACTGCCGACATTTGGGGGCTTCTGGCCTTTCAACTGTTGGAGAATCGACTGTTGGAGAATCTGCTGATGTACCTCACTCAGTATCTGCGGTCTTCTGTTGTGGCAGCCACATGAAGGAACACAGACCTCTGTGCTTCCTCACAATATCAGACTCTCTCTCAGTCTTGACCTGGAGAGGGCTACTGTTCCCACTGAACAGGACTTTTTTATTAAGCATTGGTTTGGTCAAAGGATGAGCAGGAAATGGCTACAAAGTCATTTCCGCTGTAACACACGGATGCCTACAGTTCACTGTAGGACCCAAAACTGTGCAATCAAAACCACAGGGTTTACTGGGAGACAGGGTAAGTGGCAAAACACTCAGAAAGCACTGTCCACGATGCACACAGCCGATACACACAGCTAGAGGCAGGGATTCAAGACCGACAGAAACATGTCACGTGGTTAAGGAACACGAAATAGTAGCAAAACTATAGCACTATCTTGAAAAGAGATTTGCTGTGGAAGGTGGGGCCGGAAGGGCAGCAGCTTGTGAGCTATTGTGAAATCACCTGCAGGTCTGTCTAAAGGAGAAGGAATGCTGTAAAGGGTGCGGGCGGGGCGAGCCCACAGCGCAAGCCGGAAGCTGATGGCATCTCGGGGGTCATGCGTGGGTATTTCCACCAGGCTCTGCTAAGTTGGTGCAACTTCTGTATTTACCTAGTGTTCTCACAATATCTCTCAGAAGCAGAATCAAAATTTCTGAGGCTCAAATTGTTGCTAATACATTAGCCTCATTGGAAGAGTCATATTTCTCTTCGTTTTGTTCCTTTCTCTCTTTATTTCTTTGGGATAGTATCCCACTCTGTAGTTCAGATTGACCTTGAATTTACTTTGTAGCCCAGGCCAATCATGAACTCGCAGTGATCCTCCTGTGTCAGCCTCCCAAGTGCTGGGATTACAGGTGTGCGCCACCACACCTGGCTTACAAAATCTCATTTTCAAAGCAGGCATTATAGTAGAATGGACTACAGTGATTTCATTCATTTGTCATAGGGGTGTTTTGGGAGCTTGCTTTATGAGTTTCCAGGAGAAAAATCTTCAGGTCTCTAAATCAGGAAAGTCTATTAGCTCAGTAGTGAAGTTTCTTCGTTAGCCCTGACCACCGCGAAGCTCAGAGCCAGATATATGGCCCATCTCTTCCATCCTGTGGCATGTTTTCATGCATTTATCTAATATTGTCCTATTTTCCTACTTGTTTTGTTTTCCTCATTGTATTTTACTTTGTTTTTGCTTTATGTTTGGGACACGACTGTAGCCATCTTAAATCATAACTGTCATGATTGCCCCAAAGTAACCTTCACTGGTTTTTCCTTCAGTTCCCCAGCAAAGTATAAGTAGATAGATAAGACCACAAAAGTCACATGCAGAGCTTTACAACTAGGCATGGACTCCAGGGATGCACTGGACCCTTTGATATTAAGATAAACCACATACGTTTCAGCCAGGATGAAGTCACTCTTGTCATATCCTACAGGTACATCTTTCTTTTGCCCCAAAGAGAGGGGATCCAACTCGTCTTCCTGCCACCCAGGGCCATGGTTCAACCAGAAAGTCCCCCAATAAAATCTCTCTCTCTTTTTTGGTCTCAGGCACCTTGTGGCCAATCTTCCTACACCAGGGCTGAGCTATCCTGGAATACTTTGTTATGTGTCCAAAAGCCACCTCAAACCCGGGAGATATCTAAGAAGTAGCTTCAAGTAGAAAAGACTTAGGAAACTTCAAGACAACTGGGTGCAAACACTCTTAAGACACTTGGCCTCTCTTCAGCCTCCTGGTCAAGTGTCCACCAGGCTGCTTCTTGACACAGATTCCCCCATTAATGCCAGGGTTCCTGACCCCATTTCTAAATATCTTGACTGTCACTGGGCTTTTGTATGTAGTAAAGTCTTTTCCCCCGAGACCTCCAGTCATTGTGTCCCAGCTCAGACTCTTGGGCATTGTAAACCACTTAAACCCACACTGATCCTAATGACACAGTCACTGCCCAGCTCAGTCTCAGCATGGAGTCAGGGTGGCAGAGGAGGCTGCCGCCCACCTGGTGCTCAGCCAGGTTCTGTGAATGAGTGAGCCTGTGCAGTTCAGGCTGGCCTTGAGTTCACTATGCAGCCCAGGAATGGCCTCAGACTCACAGTGATCTTCCTGCCTCAGCCTCCCAAGTGCTGGGATTATAGGCATGCACTACTGTGCCCAACATCCATGAGCCTAACTTCTCTGTGCCTCCATTTGCTGCGGGTTTTGAGTAAGAAAACACAGGTGAGGGGCCAGGCAGCCCTTGGTGCCCAACACTGGCTATTGTGCAGGGTTATGGCCCAGGCCTCCAGTTTTCAGGCTTGGAGCAGATATGGAACCTCTGTCTTCCCAGTGCTTGGAGTCTACACTGTGGTGAGCGGTTAAAATGGGACTTAGAGTAAGAAAATATTTGGGGTAAGGTATAAAATCCACCTGACTTTTTAAGATAATATCTTGACTCCTAAGAACTTTTCAGTAGTAACACTCCATTTATCCTTCTCTGCTATTGGGGTACAGGAAACCCTAGCGGTCAGGTCTAGGATGCCTGGAGAGGATGAATGCTGGCAGAGTTCTGGGGCCCAGAAATCCCATGAAAATATTCCTTCCCTACCTTTCCCACTAACTTGAGGATGCTTAAAACAGCTACAAGGCGGCTACTGTACCTTTTTGGTTCCAGAACTTGATGCTTTGAGTCCAAAGAAATGTCGCAGTGTCATGGTGTCCCTGGGGGAGAAGGCAGAGGTAAATCAGGGGTCTGACTCAGCCCCATCAGCAGGTGCAACTGACCCCTTTGGAGCTTCTGGACTGATTCCTTAGCTTGGGGTCAAATGGTCTTGCCGTTTTCATCCTTTTGCTTCCGTGCTCTTATTCTTGCCCATATCTCTTCTTTAGGCTCAAAAATACTGTCACTTCATTATGTTCTGCCCAGCTACATAAATCCCCAAATTAAGGACTCCTTTAGTGCGGGTCAGACATATGGGGGCAAAGGGATGGTTAAAATTCAAAAGTAGAGCAAAGATTGCTACTCCCTGGAATTGTGATGATCTGAAGGGCCCCCAAAGGCAAACACTGGGTCCGTGCCCCTTGAGTGGTGTGTGTCATGTGTCCTGCTTGGGGACATGGCTTGGAGCCTCACTCCCTGGTGTGTACCCTGGCTCTAGCCTTTGCCTGCTGTACTGAATTACTTGGAACCTCAGTCTCCTCATCTGTACAACTGGGATGCCCAGATCCAGTTCCTCTGATTGTTGGGGGGAGTCCAACCAAAAGTCTAGGTTACTGAATATGAAAAACTGAATATGCACCCTTTAAGGTACAGGAAGAACCCCCTTCCCGGGGCTCCATGGACTCTCCCACAGCCATTTTTCTTCCAGGGTTGTCCCTGGTCAGTCCCTCGCTGACGCTCTTGTTGGAGGTCACACAGGCTGTTGGTCCTACCTAGCATGCCATCCACCTCTCATCCTCTGCTCTCCGAGACTAAATATTCACCGCCCTGGGCAGGCTGAGTCCTGCCCTGCCCAGGGTTTTAGGTACAGCACAAACAACACCAGGATCTTGAGTCACACTAGATTTTGAAAAGAAGATCTTAGAATTTTTTTTTTCTCCAGAAGTTACTGGAAATACCACTAAACCTCCAAAGGTTGTATTAGGTACTTCTAGGATATCAGTGACTTCACGTGTTAGCTGCTAGAGCCTGGGCACTGAATCCTCTGACGCACGGTTCCCATCACTTTGCAGCCTGAATATGTTCTCTGACCTTATTCCTGAGAGCAAACGCTAATTTGCTTTTCATCTGCTCGCTCCAGACATGGTTATTGAAGGGTCTGTAGGTTCAGTAGGTGCCCAAAGCTACAACAGGAAAGGCTGATGGAGAGGCTTCCACAAGAGGCTGTGGGTGCTCTTCTGGTCTCCCCAGTTCAGATTCGAGTTCAGCTTGGTATGCCTGCCAGAAGCTTAAAGCCAAATCCTGTTGAACTTCTTCAGTAACTGGAACCATCACCTGGCAAAGGCAGGCTCTCAAGTTTCTCCTTGTGGGGCATGAATTAAAGAGGTGCTCAGGTCAAGCAGCAGGGAGCTCCGTGCAGGAGGAGGCACGGGAGGACCCAGAATCAGCCCGTTTTCCCCAGGAGCCCTCACTTTGCGGGATCGAGCAGGGACCAGAGTGAACAGGAAAGGCGACTGTACACCGTGTGCTTGAGGATCCAGGCAAAGCTGGAACCTGCAGGACTTGAGTCTCTGCCCAAGAAGTAGAACCTTTCCCGTCTGACGTTGTGGAGAACTCCAAGACTCAAAAGCAATTGTTTTTATTCAATCCAGGAGACCCAGTCAAATTTCGACTATAGAAAGTGTTTCTGATCAGGCTTGGAAAGAATTAGCTAACAGAGGTGTCGAGGATAAGGCGTTTGAGCACGGGGCTCAGGTCCCTCTTGGACTCGTGCAGAGGCCCTGCCATCCCAGCAGGCAGGGAGATCTGCGCTGGGCGGATCTCTGGGCCGTGGCCGCGGCCGAGGCCCCATTGCGAGCCATCACAGAGGGGTCGATGTGGAGGGCGGGTGGAAGGCTGAGGGCGTCTGGGGAGCCCTGGCTGGGCGCCCTCCCTGCCCACCGCCTTGCGCCCTCGGGTCAACACCCCCCAACCCCTACCTGGTTGCGAACCAGACCTCTGGGAACTGCTCCACCGTCGAGGAGTACAGGGCAAAGAGGATCCCCGAGCTGGCAGCGAAGAGTAGCAGAAGCAGCCGGAAACACCGGCTGCGCGGGAGCCCCATGCGGCCCCAGTCCATGGACGCCCAGTTCCCTGCCCACCTGCCAGCCGCGGTCTCGGGTGAAGGGGGTAGGCCCAGGTGAACCGGGCGGTTCGCCAAGGAGGAGGCCCTGCCCTACCTGGCCCTGCCCCGTCCCGCCCAGCCCATGCCACCTCGGCGCCTCCCGCCCTACAGCTCCCCCTCTGCCCGGATCGGGGCGCCAGAGGTGGCCGCACCTCGGGGACAGGCAAGCGCAGCGGTCCCAGGCGGCTGGAGTGTCATCTCCGGTGCGAGGAGCCACGTGCGCCCCCCACAGGAGCTGCACCTTGCTGGGGGACTTCGACAGCGAACACCCCAACCGCTGCGCGCCGGTGGGACCCCACTCTCCGGGAACCGGCACCCGTGGCTGGGCAGGGCGCCGAGTCCGCGGCGTTCCGGGCCAGCGCGCGCTGTCCAGGAGTCGGGCCGGGCGCTCTGGGGACGCCGCCACCTGCCGCGCACGCTGGAGACTCCTCGCCTCAAACCCCGGCAGCAGGCTTTTTGACGCCATAGGCGGGTGCGCAGTCGGTAGGACTCCTCTCGTAAGGTCCGTCAGACCTGTGGGTTTGGGCTGTGGCGCCTCGGGTCCGATGCTGAACCTCAGGCGAGGAACCAGTCCAGTAAGACAGCAGAGGGAGATGAAAAGGATGGAGAACTCTCCCCAGCTCAGACCAGCTCAGTGAAGCAGGGAGCCTGCTGCTGGGTCGCAGTGCACCAGTGAGCTGAGACTGGCATCCTCTGTTTGGTGACCACCAGAAAAATCAGAGCCCTCATCGAATTGCATTCCTTTTACAAAAGGAGGCCAACCTGCAGAGTGGCAGAGAGGCCTCAGAGAGATCCAGCAGGAGTCCCCGCACTACCAGGAAGGGCTGAGGGACCTCAGGCGCGGTGCCGGAGAGACAGAGCCCTCTGGCGGCTAGCAGTGGGCAAACGCTGCGTTATCCAGTCCAGCATCCCTGGAACTATACCCCAGGTCTCCCAGCCTTCGGGGCGTGTGAGAGACCGAGAGACAATGGGGATGCAGCTAGGGTATTTGCTGATGGAGAGTCTTCCCAAAACGCTCCTACGGGCCTGTGCCCGTTATCAGGAGTGAGTCTTTCAGAGCCTGCTCTGCCTTGTCTGGTGTGACCCAGGTGAGGATCACTGGAGCGCGATCGTGCAAGCCAGCCCTCTTTTACTCTAACACTGCTGAAGACAGATGCCTGCGTCTTACTATCTGGCTGAGGGACTATCTTACTATCTGGCTGAGGCTTAGAGCCTATGGTTTTCACTCTTTCATTTCAGTCTTTGTGGTCTTCACTTGTCAAAATCCCTGCGGATATTACTCACCCGGCTCAACACCATGCCATGTATTCTGTGTGGTTTATAAGACCTCAGGCTCTGAGCTCAAAATTCGCTGTTCTCTTGGTTTCACTATGTCCCTTACCACCTCCTTTATGGAAAGAAAGGGAATCCCTAACCAGTTATTTTTTCAGGTTTCCATCTTCTTCCAGCCTTTCTCCCTTGCCTCACAGAGTACCTCCATCTGCATAGAGCTGGCCCCCAATGTTAATGGCTGAGTCCATTTTAATGCCCCATAGCAATACCCCTGAGACCCAAGCCGCCTGTTCACTGGCCTGGATGGGGGTCCCCAGTCTCTCCCACTTCACTGGCCTTTTCTCCAGTTCTCTCCTCTTGCCAGGTGGGGCCCCAGGGGATAATCTGAGCTACTGTTTCATCAGATTATGGATCATAATCTGATTCCCCGGTATTCCTGGCTGGCTGCCCAGGACTCAGGGCTTTACCCTTGGGTCTGCCCTGCAGTGTCCTCTCCTTTTCATTCTATTCTGCTTCTAACCATTCTTTCCTCAAGCCTCTCTTTGTCTCTGTCCTCTCCTCTTTGAGAAAATAGAGACCTTCAAGATATGCATCAACATCCTAGCCCCCAACCACTGTAAAGAACCAAGAGGGGGCTGAGATTTTCACTAGCAGGTTTGTAGCTGGAATGCGGGCAGGGGGACCTGCGAGTTCGTGCTCAAAGGCAACTATATTGCTCTCCTGGCATGACAGCAATAGAGGCTTCATGTTTGTGTCACTTTTTTTGTTGTTGTTTGTTTTTGTAATACTGGGGATCAGACCAAGTGGCTTTTTTTTTTTTTTTTTGTCTTTTTCCTTTTTATCGGTACCGGGGATCGAACTCACAACTGCCTGCTTTCAAGGAAGGCGCTTATGCCGCTGAGCTAAACACCCAGCTCCAAGACCAAGTGGCTTTGCACTGAGCCAAAATTTGCTTGGGCTTGAGTTTGCAGACCTTGTGCCTCCCAGAGTGCTAGGATTACAGGAGTGTGCCAAATGTTCACCTTGGAGTTACAATTTTTTTTTTCTGCACTGGGGTGGGGATCCACACACCCATCTTGGGAGAAGTCTGCTGTCTCCACTTCTCTTTGAAGCTGGCTTCCATAGCTACCCTTGCCCCTGAAACTGTACCCCCCTGGAGTCCCTAGAGACCATATCATTCCTAGGATGATGGATACTTTCCAGTTTCAATTCTGACACAATCAACTCTCAGAATATTATAATTTATGCTTGGAACTCTTTGTTGGTTCCTGAATTTGTATTTGTCTCAGGCTCAGATCCTTCTCATCAGCTGCACCCTGTTCAGCGCCCCAAGGGCCACATCTGAGACTTTCTGCTCCTTCATCTTTCCCTTGAACCATCTCTCTTTCTGTATCCTCTCTCACAGGGGCTTGAGCATATCCTGAGTCACCAGTCTGGGGCCACCCTTTATGGCTCTGTCCTTCATGTCCCCCCCTAAATTCTGAACTTCAATCAAGTATTGTATTTCCCAAATCAGCTAACGCATGACGGGCAGGCCAATGTTGTGATGCCACGGAACTTTATTAGCACCTAAGGAGGTTTGTAATTTTATTTATTATTTATTTATTTATTTACTTTTTTGGTACCGGGGATCAAACTCACAAACTTGCACTTCCCAGGCAGGTGCTTATGCCACTGAGCTAAATCTCTGGCTCCCTAAAAATGTTTTTAAACATTTATTTATGAATTTATGTAAACGTTTAGGTTTCAGATTTAAAAAAGAATAGAGAAACAACCTAAGTGTTCACCAGTGAATGCAGGGCTAACAAACGTTTTATCCAGACGGTGAGATGTTCAGCCTCAGAAAAAACCATTCTGAAATATGACACAACAGGGGTGAATTCAGTGACATCATGCCAAGTGAAACAAGCCCCTCCTAAATAGAGCGTAGGGAGGTACATTCCATGAGGTGCCTAGGGTCCTCAGATTCATAGAATCAAAGGTGGGATGGGGTTGCACGGGAGGGGACCTGTGGCACGAGTTGTACTGAGTTTTTCTCTTAAGACAACAGATATTATTGTGGAGTTGTTTTCTCTAAACTGAAACTTCAGTGTCCAGGTTTAATTGCTGTACTGGCACTTTGTGAGTAAGTGGGTTTCAGGTTGCAGTTTGGCCTTGTCTCTACAAGGTCCACCATCATTTAGTTGGGGGAATGAAGAATGTTATGGGCTCAGAGTTTCCGGTTTTGCAAAATGCAGAGTTCTAGACATTGGATAACCATATGAGTGTTCTTAACACTACTGAATTGTTTGCTGAAACGGTAGCATGGTAAATTTTATGTTGTGTGTATTGTACCGTAAGCTTTAAAATGAGAGGTAGGAGGAAGAATTGTATTTCTAGTAAGGTGAATTTCTACTCGGGGCCATATGAATATGGATTTTTGTCACTGCAAAGAACGAATCTGAAGACAAAGCCATGGACTAATTTCAGGTAGAGTAGGGTGCTGTGGACATTGTGTGTTTCAGGGTGCTAAGCAGGCTCCTAAGTGCAGTGGTACTGCGTAGCCACAGAGCGTAATACTGTAAGGGCGAGCTGTTGATCATGCTTTTGGGCTATTTCAAGTATTGTATTTAAATCTGTTTCAGATCCGTGGGATTGAGGTTAATTTTTTGGAGGGGGTGGAGGTTGGGACAGGGTCTTGCTATGTAGTTTAGGCTGGTCCTGAACTCACTATGTAGCCCAGCTTGGCCTTGAACTTGTAGTAGTCCTCCTGCCTCAGCCTCCCAAGTGCTGGGGTTACAGGCATGCAGCACCACACCAGGCATAGCATTGTGTTTAAATGCTGAATTCTTGCATCAGAATTTTAAAGTTAAACTTTTAATTTTGATATAACTGTAGATTCACATATAGTTTGTATGAAATAACTTGAAAAAATATGGTATAATATCACAACCAAGATGTAGAAATGACTAACATCAAAAGATAGACCATTTCCAGCCAGGCCAGGATCCTCATTTTGCCCTTTTGTAACCTCATCAACTTCCTTCCTGCCTCCACAGCCCACTTCTGTCTTTTTTTTTCCACTTCTGTCTTTAACCCCTGACAGCCACTATGCTAGTATTCATTTCTACAATTTTGTCATTTCAAAAATTTATTCCAACTTTTGTTTAGGAACTGAGAGTCAGTTCAGAACTTTGTGATTGCCAGGCAGGCGCTGTGCTACTGAGCTCTCTATCCCAGCCCTGTGCAGTCATTTTTACCTGGCTTCTTTTCATACATGTAGTACTGGAGTTTGAAGCCACAGCCCTCACACTGAGCTACAACCCTCAGCCTGTTTAAGTTTTTATTTTGAGACAGGTCTCACCAAGTTGTTAAGTTGCCCAGGCCGGACACCTGCCTCAGCCTCCTAGATGCTGGGATTATCGGTGTACACCACCACATCTGGTTTGAATTGGCTTTTTTTCATTCAGTGTAGTTCTCTGTAGTATCCCTGAGGCCATACATAATAACTCATTTCTTTTGCAGTACTGGGAATTGAACCCAGGAGCTTTGAATATGCTCGGAAATGCTCTACCCCAGAGTTACATTCCCATGCTTGGTTGCTTCCTTTCTGTCAATAAGTAGCAGCATTCCAGGGATATGGATGAATCATAATTTGCTGACCAATGGAAGACATACCCATCATTTCAGTTTTGAGTTATTATGAAGAAAGCTGGTGCTGGATGTGATGATTCATAATTCCAGCCCTTGGCAGGCTGAGGCAGGAATATCACCATAAATTCCAGGCCAGCCTAGACTACACAGTGAGACTCTGTCTCAAAAAAAAAAAAGATGGGGCTGGGGATTTAGCTCAGCGGCATAAGCACCTGCCTTACAAGCAGGCGGTCGTGAGTTCAATCCCTGGTACCGATAAAAAAATGAAAAAGACAAAAAAAAAAGTCTCATTCAAAAAAAAAAGATTCTTTTATAGCACAAAATTATTTATACAGGTATTATCTTAATATCCGTGGGTGTAATTATCCCTGGGTACAATTGCAGTGCTGTTTAGTAGGTGGTTGCACAGTTAAGCCTTTTTGATCCCAGGGATTGAATTTATGACCTCCTGCTTGCTAGGCAGGCACTTACATCGCTGAGCTAAATCCCCAGCACCCCCACACACACCTTTTTTTTGAGACAAGGTCTCACTATGAGCCCCAGGCTTGTCTTTTTTTTTTTTTAATTTTATTTAAGGAGAAAAAAAACAGAGAAAGGGTACAAGTTATACAGATTTACAGAAAAAAATAAACAGTAGGAAATCACTAGTTAATGGATTACATATTGTCATTTAAAAATAATTGTTCAAGTCACAAAATTATAGCATGTAAAGTAGACATTCCAACAGTGAGACTGCAAACAGTTCTGTTCAATGATCCAATAAAACTCAGTGATATCATTTTCCATCTTATACACTTAAATATACATGCAGTTATATAGTTTAGAGCACTTTCTTTTCCTCTCTTTTGTACAATGACAATTACACATTTTGGGTTTTGTTGCTCCCACAGTTCTTATTACTTTTTTGGAAGGGAGTAGAACCAAATGTGACTTAACAGAACAGAGTCAATCAAATCAAAAGGGTGGACGTAATAGATTATGTAAAAGCATAATACAAGGTGATCAATAATGGTTACCATAATGCCTCCCGCTATCTCTAAAAGAATTGCCTATATCATCAGTTATAATAAAAATGAACAAAACAGTAAAGAACAAAACTGACAAAATCAAAACATTGGAGACATTATAGGTCTTCAAAAGTAGATAAAAGTCATCGAGAATGGGCGTCATAATGAATCTCACTATCTTCACAGCTGTTGCCTAAACTTTCGAACCTGGTACTATCAAGCAAAACAGAATAGAGAAACATCAGTCAAAACAAGATGGTGAGAGCAATACAGGGCTTCAAATCAAGATAATGGAAAGTCAAAGTGGGTTACTATAATATATCCTGCTATTTTTATTTATTTTCCCTTAATTAAAAGGATGAAAATAAAAAAGTAAATAATGGAGTGGAGATTGAGATAAAAGAGGGCATAACAGCAAAACAGCGCAGATCAAAGCATAACCATTTAAGCAGAATAGTGTTTCACCACAAGATAATCCTGACATAAAAGTAGTTACCACATTGTCTCTTTCCTTGAAATCCTTGAGTACAACTTCGTATACTGTAGCATCAAATATATCAAAACAATGTAAAACCATTTAAGAGAATGACAGCATTACAGGGTATTTAGAATCAACTAACAGAAAATGAACAATGGTTTCTGTATAATCTCCTTGTCTTTAAAAGTTTTTGCTTATACTATCTTACATAGTAAAATCCAATAAGATACAACCTGTTTAGACCATTGGAGACAGAAGAACAAAAGCTTGATGAGACTTCAAAACAAGATGATACTAAATCAGTATTACCTATTAAGACATCATTTTCTCCAAAATAGCTGTTCCTATCATCCAATCTTCTCTGCCTCATTTCTGTTGAGCTCTTTTTCTGTCATTAGTTGTCAGTTTGTCTTCTTCATTTTGTTCTCTGCTCCATTCATTGTGGCCTCCCCGCCACTATTTCTGGATTCTTTGTATTTTTCTTTTTTAGAATATCCTGCAATACTCTCTGTAGAGTTGAATTGGTGGTTGCAAATTCCCTCAGTTCCTCTTTATCCTGGAAGCACCTTGTTTTTCCATCTATTTCCAGGGACAGTTGTGCAGGATATATCAATCTTGGCTGGAGATTATTATCTTTCAAAGCTTGAATTATTTCCCCCCACGCTCTTCGTGATTTGATGGTTTGTGCAGAGAAATCTGCTGTAATTCTGTTGAGTGTTCCCTTGTAAGTGGTCTGTTTCTTGTCTCTGACAGCTTTTAATATTCTGTTCTTGTATTGAATTTCTGGAATTTTTATTATTATACGCCTGGATGTTGCTCTGTTTGGGTTGTAGGTGGCTGGGGTCCTGTGTGCCTCATACATCTGAGTATCTTTACCTTTTGCTAAATTAGGAAAATTCTCCTGGATTATTTCTGTGAGTAGCTTTTGTAGTTCATTTGTTTGTGTCCCTACTTCTTCTTTTATGTTCTTAATCCTTAAGTTATGGATCCTCTTATCATCTTCTTGTCTTTGTATTATTGCTGTTTGTTTCTTTGTTACTTTTAAGAAGTTTTTCATTTCATTCTCCCATATTACAAATCTGCCCTCCAGTTCAGATAGTCTGTCCTTAGTTTCTTTCAAGCTGTTATGGGCCCAGGCTTGTCTTGAACTCACAAGGATCCTCTTGCCTCAGCCTCGCAAGTACTGGGATTATAGGCATGAACCACCACCCCCACCACAGATGTTTGTTTGTCTTTTTCCTTTTTATCAGTACCAGGGATCGAACTCACGACTGCCTGCTTGCAAGGCAGGCACTTATGCTGCTGAGCTAAATCCCCAGCCCTGACTTTTTTGTTTTGTTTTGTTGTTGGGAATTACACTCAGGGACTTGGTACTTACCAGGCAGGTGCTTGTGCCACTGAGCTATATCTCTAGCCTCTGGCTCAAGACTTTTAACACAAGGACCTTTAGAGAATTTTT